TTATATGTTTTTATTAACTACGAGAGTGTTTGCCGCGACATCATGTAGTGGTGGGCAGTACCTTTCTGGAACAATATGTCATTCTTGTCGAGCGGGGTCTTATTCCTCGGGTGGTACAACGACATCATGTACTTCATGTTCTTCTGGTTCGTATTCTGGCTCTGGTGCTTCGTCGTGTACAAAATGTAATCTTGGATATTATGCTTCAAGTTCTGGGTCATCGTCGTGTACCCAGTGTTCTGTTGGTAAATATGCTCCAAGTTATGGGTCTACTTCATGTTCAACTTGTCCAGCAGGGTATTTTTCTGCTGGTGGTGCTTCTTCGTGCACAAAATGTAGTGCGGGGTATTCTTCTGGTACTGGAGCTTCAAGTTGTATACTATGTGATGCGGGATCTTATTCTTTATCGGGATCATCAAGTTGTAAACTATGTGATGCTGGATCATATTCAAGCAGTACTGGAGCGGCATCTTGTAATTTATGTAATGCTGGGTATTATTCAAATAAAGGAGCAACCACTTGCACTACATGTCCTGGTGGATATTATTCGGCATCTTCTGGCAGTGCAAAATGCACGGCGTGTGCTGCAGGAACACGCTCTGAATCCACAGTGTCATCAACAAAATGTGTGACGTGTGGTCGAGGAACATATTCGAGCAGCGGAAGTGCTTATTGTACTGATTGTAGAGCAGGAACTTTTGCAGATGAACAAGGAATTTCGTCGTGTAAAACGTGTGCAGATGGCTATTATTCAACAACTGGAAGTTCATCGTGTGTACAATGTGTTTCCACGAGTTGTGGAGTGTGTTCAAAAACGACTGGGGAGTGCACTTCGTGTAATGTTGGCTATTCGTACGATTCGTCAAATAAGAACTGTTCGATATGTCCCGCATCGTATTATTCGAGTGGTGGCACTTCGTTGTGTTCAAAGTGTGCGACTGGGTATTACTCACTCAGTGGTTCAAGTGGGTGTACAACGTGTTCCACAAGTTGTAAAACGTGCGACCAAACAAATGGAAACTGTTTATCTTGCTATGACGGTTATTTTATGAATGGTAAAATATGTGATACATGCCCAGCTGGCACGTACCAAAGTGGTGGAAGTTGTGTAACGTGTCCAGACATGCAATACTCATTGGCAGGAAGCACAATGTGTAAAAGTTGCAGTTCGACATGTTTGAGTTGTGATAAGACAAATGGGTATTGCACATTGTGTGAATCTGGAATGGGAATTACAACAACAACGTGTTCTGTGTGCAGTGCTGGTACATACAGCATTGCAAACAAATGTGAGTATTGTCCACTTGGAATGTACTCATCATCAAAGAGTTTGCAATGTAATTTTTGTGGAGATGGGACTTATGCCAACACAACAATATCAACAAGTTGCAAAATGTGTGATGTTCTGTGTCAAGGACCATGTGAAAAAACAGGTGGCAAGTGTTTAGCCTGTGTGAGTGGTGCTGTTCTATCAAATGGAGTGTGTTCATTGTGCAATTCAGGAACAATGGCAAATCAAACAACAAACAAATGAGACACATGCAAGGCGGGTACTTATGCCAGTGAAGGCTCTTCTCGATGCAAAAGTTGTGGAGAAATGACATACTCAACTGTAGGTTCGTTATCATGTCAGCAATGTGACACAAAATGTGATGGGTGTGATGCGACGAATGGGTATTGTGTCAACTGTGTGACTGGGTATGGTCTTGCAGCTGGGAAGTGTGCCATATGTCCAAGGGGAACTTACTACCTGAGTTCTGTGTGTCAGAGTTGTGGTGAGATGGCATACCAAGATGTTGAAGGACAAACCACCTGCAAGTTGTGTGACTTGTCGTGTGCAAGTTGCAATGCAACAAATGGAAAATGTCTTACGTGTGCTGCTGGATATGGCTTTGACAGTGGAGTGTGTACGTTGTGTGGCGACCTCACATTCTCAGAAGGCGGTGTTTTGCAGTGCCAACAGTGTTCTACTGAATGTAAAAAGTGTGACAGAAAAAGTGGTGCTTGTACATCGTGCGAAGTCGGCAACAAGAGAGTTGACAACAGTTGTGTGTCGTGTGCTCCATCTGGATATTGTGATTTGTGCACAGACGAGACATCAGATGGTATTTGTGTATCATGCGAAGACGGATTTTATTTGAATAAAGATGGCAATTGTCAAAAATGTAGTGATATTCACAAAGACTGTCTGACGTGTTCTAAAACAACAAAAACGTGTCTATCGTGTGCAGGCAACATGATATCAACTGGCACCAGTTGTGTTGCATGTGAAGTTGGGATGGTCAAAGTCACAGAAACGACATGCGACTACTCGTACAATGTCATCCCAAAGTGTCAAATTGCAGACTTTGTCAATAATCAACACATTTGCACTGCATGTTTTGCGCCATACGTCACTTCAAGTGACTTGAAGGCGTGCAATTTGGGATACACAACTACAACATACTACGACACAGATGATCACAAATTACACACCAACATGGATGGGTGCGTCAACCAAATCGATACAACGTGTTACTTGTGTGATTTTACAGCGATGTTGTTAAACGGAGTTTGTAATGTTAAGAATGAAAAGTGTGAGACATCCTCGCAACACGGCTGCGACAACTGCGTTTCAGATGTGATCACATCAAATGGCAACTGTGTTGTTAACACAAATTGTAAATATGAAATCAACAGAGAAATTGGCACCGAGTGTTTGTATTGTGTTGATGACGTGTTGTGTGGCAAAGCAAAACAAAATTGTGAAACATCACACAACGAGTACTGCTACTTGGCAGTGAGTGGATATCACACAACAAATGACAACACCGTTGAACAATGTGAAAGTGAAGTGTGTGTCATTTCAAATGGAGTTATCACCGATATGAAATGTAAAGAAGACAAATTGTTGATAGATGGCGTGTGTACAACTAATACAATGTGTTATATTATGTTGTATGGTGATTGTATCAAGTGTGATTCAAAACAACACATCTCACAAGGAAAGTGTTTATCAAACAGTGCGAATTGTGACAACCAGAATAGAGATATTTGCATTGTGTGTAATAACACCATCAACGTTGGCGGCGTGTGCACAGACACACAGTCAATTCACTGCTCTTCATTTGACAAAGTGTGTGTCATTTGTGAAAGTGGTTATTACAAAGATGTTGATAGGTGTAAAGTGAAGACTGGCGCGTTGTCAGATTGTGATGTTGTCTCGTTGCTCAACACCAAATGTGTCGAATGTGAGTCCGATTACAATTTCAATGGAATTTCGTGTGTGCCACAAACACTTCCAAATGAGACCACCAAACAGACAACTAAAAATGAAGAAACACAGACAGACAGCCATTGTGAAGTGAGCACCACAAAAGGGTGTCTGAGGTGTTTAAGTGGGTATTACCTCGCAGACCGCATGTGTGTGAAGTGCGAGTATCCCTGTGTCTACTGTTCGAATCGGACATTCTGCACAAAGTGTGACGACTACTCGTATGCAAACAGCAACGGCGTTTGCACTGAAATCAACGCACTTGTCAGTGTGTGTGACGTGTTGATGTCAACATATCGCGGGTGTGTAGTCTGCAAGGAGGGGTACATGAGGTCATCTGATGGGTCAACATGCATTGGCTGTGATGAGTCATGCAAGTCGTGCACAAATGAAGGGAATTGTGTTGTGTGCGACAATAAATTTTATCGCACGTCATCAAACGTCACCAAATTGTGTTCACCACAAAGCGAGTTGACTTCGTGTGCAAACAAAACAACAGCTGGTTGTGTGCTATGTGAAAGCGGACACTATCTCTCAAACAATTTGTGTGTGAAGTGTCAAGACACGTGTACACAATGTTATGGCATTGATGAGTGCATTGATTGTGTGAAAGACAATGTACTCGTGTCTGGTGTCTGTTCACATTATACAACCATTGAGAACTGTGTTGAGTCTGCCAACAACAAATGTTCAAAATGTGATGACAACTACAAATGGGTTTAGGAAAATTCGCCCGATTATATTTCGCCTGTATTTTTTTCGCCTGCAAAAAATCAACAAAAGTTCAACACTAAACAATTATGAATCAAGTTTCTTTTTTTATATAAATTTTGCTTAAAATATGTTTTAATATCAACTAACTTTTGTAAACCAAACACTAAAAACCAGTTATTAATTTCTGCTTTTTCCGATCATTTTTCTCAACTTTTTAGTTTTCTGATAATCAGACACTTTTCTTGGCTTTTTTTCATTGTGAGCTTTAGTTGCTTTTTTAGTTTTCTTTTTCAAGTCTTTTAACCTGTCATTTGTAGTGTTAACATCTTTTTCCATATTAACAGAAACAAGAGTGCTCTCGTTTAAACTGCTGTGTGGATCTTCTATTCCATTATGCGATGAATGGCAAAAATGATTATAATTTGCAACTTCTGAAAGTGTACTTTTTCTCATAATTTCAATCAATTCATTTTCTTCGTTGACTTCTTTGATTGCAGTATTCATATCCAAATCAAACAGAATTATGTTTTGCTTGCTAGATAAAATGGTCACACATTTTTTAAGGAACACAATTGGGTCAAGTTTGTTTTCGCCGATCAGTTGGTTTTGTAGTTCTTCTAATGTCAAATTTTTCTTAATCGACAAGTTTGATTGGCGACTTTTTTGAAGGTTAGTTTCATATGCTTGATATTTCAAATTGATAATTTTTGAAAAGACAACAATTTTTCCAAAAACTTATGGATGACTGGATGTGTCGTGCCGATGTATCTGTTAAGTGCGGAATGGAAACTTTCTGACCTGTTATTTGTTCTTTCATATAATCCAAACACCGACCAATTTGCTGTTCTAAACACGCCTTTGATATAGTTGTTTTCGAAATACTCTAGAAACTTTTCAAAATCTTCATCACCACCCATTTCACTTTTGATTCTTTTGAATGTTTCAACAATAACGTCTTCTGGTAAATAAGCAGTTGCCATGAGCATTTTGACACCCAACTTAAAAGTGTCTCCTTCCACAAAACGGCGAGACAATCCCATTGTCAATACTCTCCTGTACAGAGATTGGCAAAAGTGGAAATGACAACATTTTATTGTCACCTCACTTCCAAACAGGTCTTTAAAATGTACAACCTCAAAATCCCCCATAACGACAACATTATTGTGAAACACTTCTTTATCACACAATCTTTCAATTTGATTGAATAGTTTGGAATAAGTCTCTTTTGTTTTAGATGTCAAACAGGCATAAAAAACGGGGAAAGACTCTCTGTTTTTTAAAGCGTGCAAAGTGTACAGTTGTGAAAATAGCTCTGTAAATCAGTTTAAACTGACATCA